TGTATGTGTACGTCTGAGCAGTCCTGTTATGGCAGATTTTTCTTCAAATGAAGCATACGTACTCTAAAATGGGGTTGATTTCAAGTTGCCGATAATAGAACAGCTGGTTAACACGCAGTTCTAATGGGAAGGTTGCCGAAGAAAACGAGGCTGCCGACAATAGTCACACTCACCTGAGAAGTTTGGAGCGTTGTAAAAACGCTTTCAAACAGTTTTGAAGAATTCTGTCGATTAAAATGGATAGAGCAGCAAGCAGCAGATGAATGTAAACCAACAGACACGTCATATATGTGCGTGACGCTGAGAAAATGCTAATAGAAGTGTGGACACTGCTTAGATTGACGAGAATACGTAAATTCCCCTATATGCAGTCTACATTTGCTGACAATTTCAAATAAAACGTATGTTTTAAAATAGCATGTAAGGCAACAGCACTATTGTAAAACGGTCTACACTGATTGACGACAAATAAATAAATAAATAAATAAATAGATGATCAACCCGATACCTTCCTCAATTGTGCTTTGTTCGCTTTCTGCTCTCTATAATTTTTACACTGCCGTACCATAGAGGTAACTCTAAGAGCAGAATGTCCCGAAGAAACGTGCTCAACTTTTTGGCTCAGCTCTGGTACTCTCTTCGGTCCCAAGCTAATCGATGCACCCCTCGAAACATAGGAAAATCCACGAACCCCTCAGGGTGCTCGTATACAACGTATATTTGTTATGTCAGGTAACACAATAGTTGCCTTTGATAAGGGCCGTTCTCCAGTTCGATATGAAATTATTCTGCCTTAAACAGCACACCTTCACGAAATTCCACATTGAAGTAGATTAAAAGGATACGAAGAACCGTTCACAAGGTCCGGATCACCTTTATGAATGAACAGGTTCTAATAACCATGCTATCAATTGACGATTGAGCGGATTTTATGAGTTTTAAGCTGGAATGATTTTTTGGCGTTCTGAGTATGAGTTCGTGAAAATACAAGGGTGAGATTTGTTTGCCACATTAGCACGCAAGTTTATTCTCGCAGGGCAGCTCAATAAATGAGATTTGAGATTGCTTTTCCAAACACTGCGTCAGATGCTGAGTGCTGAATCCGTGATTTGTCTCAAAAACAGTACGGTGTACTTCGTGACGATTCTCGATTTCTACGAAGTATATCCGCAATTGTTGAATATGGAAACACATAACATTTGGATTTTCCTTTCTTTTTCCTTTCTTATTATGAGACAAATTGACTCTTTCGATAGACAATTTAGGATGTTCACAAATCTGTCGGATTAGTGGTAGGATACTGTAGTATAGTGGTTCTCAATTTCTCGTTGAATGCTACCCACTTTTAAACTTTTCATAAGCTTGTGACCCACCAATTTTAAAGAATGTCGATGTAAAGTCATAATGATTTAAACAAACACAAACAAAAATCTAAAAACGCCTGCTGGAAAAGCCTTTAAAATGTATACATGTAATCCACATGATCACGTTAAAGTACTACACAGCAAAAAAATAATTTTGATATCACGTCAAAGTGGATGCACTACAATCATGTCGAAAATATGGTGTAATATTACTTGCTAAAAAGGACAAAATTATCATTAATACAATGCATGAACTGACATTACGCTGCTTTTACTGCATTTGTTTATTTATGTGGTCATAAAAATTACATGAAATTTTCGACATGAATGTAGTGCATCCACTTTGATGTGATATCAAAATTATTTTTTTGCTGTGTAGGTGATGATGATGATATGGAACTACCACTCACTGTAGCAAGACAACTGTCGCCCCGTAACGTGGGTAGATCACCTTTTCGTGGTACGTTACGGAATGTACAATCTAACACCGATTCCTAGTCCTGACTACTTCAAACTAGGGGAACAGGATTTTTCAGTAATCAAAGGAATACATCTTAGTCCTTGTTAATTTTTATGCCTTGTTAATAGTGATAAGTTCTCGGATTACTTGGACCGAGGATGATCTTGAAACAAGGAAAAAATTAGTTAGCTAGTTTTCATCTATGTGATTCATAATCTTCTATTCGTTGTCCCCTAGTTTGAAGGGGTTAAAACTAGGGTTCTGATGCATGGTCATAGGCGGTGTCATTCCTTAGTTTTGGTGCTAAGGAATCCAATTTTGACTGACAAAGGGTGTTTCAACACTACGAAGGTTATAAATAGCGGGACCTCAATTAGAGTCCGATCCTTGCGATAAATGCATGAATACTTCATCATTTCTCAATAGTGATGGAGTAATATGACATACACTAAACTAAGGACACGGAATATACATACTACAATCGATCAAATGACTGGTTGCAGTGGTGTTAGGTCCCGAACAGAGGAAAAAAAAGATATCTGTCAGTAGACTGTGGACTTTCCTTGCTGTTCGACTTGATCAAGTTTAATAACCTCTAATTGTACTCAACCTGCTATTGTGTGAAGGGCCAACAACGGTTTGGGTGAATCCGTGGGCAACATCGCCCACGTGCATCCACGGGATAAATGAGAATCTCATTCCAAAAATTACACTAATTAATCAAAACAAATCCCTCAAAAAGACTGAGCTTCTGTGAATTTCTCCTATTTCTAGAACAAAATTTGATAAAAAATGTGTTGACATAAGATCGTATGAATAAAAGCATTTACTTTACTTTTCCCGTAAGAAAAGCACGGGAAAGTAAAGTCAACTCTTTTTATTCATACGGCCCATAGTTAATAGTCAGAACGAAAATTATTTTGTGTTTCAAATGTGCATATTCAATTCAAATTTAATGAAAACTGTCACTGAATAGCTTAAACTTACGGTATCAGTGATGGGGGGCGACTCTATCTACGATGCAGAAAAATATGTGTTAGCTGCGCACACGCTGTGTAGATAGAAAGAAGATTAATGACGATTCTGAAGATTTCCTGCAAAAAGATGATGCACGATCCAAGTAGATGCAAGAAATGAATGAAGATTTTTCAAAGCTTGATTCGCTAGTGTGTGATTTTCTTCGAGGGGGACGACTCTATCTACGATGCAGAAAATATTGTGGTTTGCTGTTGGTAGCTGCGCGCACGCTGAGTAGATAGAAAGAAGATTGATGACGATTCTGAAGATTTCCTGCAAAAAGATGATGCGCGATGCAAGTAGATGCGACAAATGAAAGAAGATTTTTCGAAGATTGATTCGCTAGTGTGAGATTTGTTGAGCATCTAAGCTTGAAATTTAGATGTGTCGCCCCCCTAGGATTTGTTGAGCATCTAGAATTTAGATTCAGATGTGTCGCTCCCCTCAGGTATCAGCAAAGGATAAGATTTTCTAAGATTGCTACGTAAGTATATAAAGAGGATCCCTTAGAAAAAATTGAAAAAACCTTGTTTGTTTACGCGAGAAAGCAAAATGATGGAAATATTGAATTTTATTGTTTTGGTAATTTGTATATGTGTTTTTGATAAGATTGCTGTGATGGTGTATTCTGAAGATATGTATTGGATTACCATTAATTTAAGCAATTCATATTTTTGTTTGGGTCATAATCCATACAAATCCTGTATAAACAATACGGATACAATGAAAAATAAATAAGTTACAAACAATTTTTGATGTCCGTTTTCAACCTTGAACAGTCCTTATTCAGGTTTGTGACTACCAAGGCCATACATTGGCTATGTGACCGTCGGCAGAAGCGGTTGCCATCGGTTCATTTAAATTAATAAATTACTTAGATTTTATATAAAATTTCACCTAATCGTATCTTCGAAGGAATTTACCATACCTAGAGTAATAAATTAACATCTGCCAACTTCAACATAGCATCCATCGGTGGAAGCGAGTTGTATTTTTCAGCGTAGTATAAATAAGTTCACTGAAGACCGATTTTTCAACGAATAACAATACCCGTTACCATTAAAAACAATATCACCCATTTTCTTGCACCAGCATCTCGTTTCTTTCGCTCGATACGTGCCTGCTTTTACTCGCCTTTTCCACACATTCACTCTTCCTCTATCCCTCTCTTCTAGCATGTTTCACAGTAAACACCCATCCACCACCCAGACCCACTCCTCACAATATTCTTCAACCGGCAAGTGCCTCCCGCCCCCCTCGACAGCTTCTTCTTCAGCCTACCGGCGTTTTCACTGCACACACTAATGTGTGTATTCGTTCTCGGAGCAAACCAAGAAACTACGTCGTAGAAAATGCTTTGGGTAAAGGCGAAAACAATGTTGAATCTCTCGCTCTCTGTGTGGTGGCATCGCATCTCGGTCCCCGTATCGTACGATCCGACCGATTGGATTCAAAAGGGTGATTCAAATATGACGTCCACTCTTGAGGGGGGTAGCGTTTGTGATAGTTTGGGTAATATGGGAAAATTTGTGACGCCGGGGGGAAGAAATTTGTAAAAGTTGTGGACGTCATATTTGAACGGCACCAACACAAAAAAAAATGGCTCCAGAAATGGAGCAAGGGATAGGGAAAGGGTGTGGAGCCAATTTCATTGGATGAAAGTGAGCTCACTGACTGCGCGTTTAAACGAATCTTAATTGATAAATGACCCAGCCCATGCTGAGCTGCACTACTAGCTGAAATGCTGAGCTATAATTTAGTCCGGAATGATTTATTAACAGGCGCCGCAGAGGCGTGACACTGGCTGCTGAAGAACCGGTTGCGGAGTAGATGGATCTCTTGAAGGGCACACTCGTGTGTTATCAGCATGCCTTTTCCTTTCGGAACCGTTTGTTTATCTCACCATTTCACACTTCGTTAACGTTACGAGTGTTGGACGAAGATAAGCACCCAATTACTAATACACATTGGATGCATATGTGGGATACTACGACGCAATCCCAAACAGCCGGTCACTTCGTCCGACTCCACCTCCCATGTGCAACCCCCTGGCTACTGCCTTGCCATACGTCTCCACAAACCACGACCAGCGCACAGTATACTCGCGATGTCGATGTTGTTGTTTTCGTGCGGCTTTAAATGGCAGAGCGAACCACGCCGAATCTTTAGTCAGTGCCAGCATTTCAAACCGTTACGACAGCTTACGTTCCTCACGGAAAGAAAGAAAGGAAGCACAGAAGGAGCTACTACATTCTACTTCCACTAGTCCTTTCCCCCGCTGCAACAGGAAGCTGATATTGGTTCGAAACTGCCCCCGCCTAGTTTCGTAAAAAAAAAAAACGTATACTGCCAAGTGTCCCTCAGCATTTCTACAGAGCAGTGCTTGCGCCGGATCTGATTGAAGTGTGTACAGTGTATTGTAGTGTAGGAAAGAATTGTCGAATTTAGTACAAATTTTCCATTGAGAATAAGTACCTGATAAGCAAAGCTTAAAACCCGAAAACAACCAGCCCACAAGATGTCTGCATCACCAATCGCACGCCAAGCTTGCAGCCAGATGCAGGCCATTCCATCGAAGAGAGTTCTCATCCATGACGCCTCCGAATTACCGGATCTCTACTCGTCGACACCCGGTGGTACCCTGTATTCTACGACCCCAGGAGGTAAGTACCTACTGCGTTATCTTCAAGTAACACAGGAATTACATCTACAGAGGTACGCGTTATCCTGACCAACCACTGCCAGCGCCCAAAGCGTACTGTATCAATTGCTGAACGTACATGCTGCTAGCTTAAGGTAGTGCGAGTGATGAAGATACACACATTTGTCCTTCGAGCGTATCTCTAATGTTACGGCGCAGTTAGGCAAAGTGTGAACCATCACACCGGCAGGCTCGTCCTAAATGTATGTAAATTAATGCAAATTATGGTGCAAATGGTGGTTATGTAGGTTTCCGTATTGTGAAAAATTTGCAAATTAAGTGCTTACTGATATATCCCAAAAACCACGTGCTCGCCTCGAATACTCGAGTCAATGGTAGAAGCATCTCTTGGTCGCTAATTGGCACAACCAGTGGGAGCTATATTTAGCAGACTTAACCAACCCAACGATGTTTCACACACAGAGCTGATAGTCTCTCGCGAGCTAGAGTTTTGAAACTCGCGAAAAGAAAAGCGTTTACCAGTCAGCGCCGCACTTGGCCTGATCATCAATCTGCAATTCAATATCCAGCCGCAGCCAGTCTGGAACAAAGACCTCTTTTTCGAATCATGAAAAACGCATTACAGCTATCCCCCGAAGAACGCGTTACCCACTGAGTTGCACCCACCGCTTTTTCTCGGCGGGGTTTCAACCAGTCGGTCTGGTGTTTTGCATGTGAGTAGTGCCAATGGAGAACTAGTCACTCGCAGAAAATCAGAGCGCTCGGTTGAAAACCCACCGAGACAAAGCGGTGGGTAGAACTCAGTGGTTAACGCGTTCTTCGGGGGAAAGCTGTAATCGATGCGGCAGGAGGACGATCTTTTCGAACGACTTCTTTGTCCATCGAGTGAGACTACTAAATATTCATTACCATCATCGTGACAAATCTAGTGCCCGTACGCACGGAACTCGTTTTACCTGTTCTATCCGTCGTCAATCTGTGATCGAAATAGGGCCCGACATCGAATCCTGCACAACCAACCAGCATACTTTCCGTATTCATATGACTGGTGTATTGAGGTGTTGTAGATAGTCGGTCACGATCATTCAATCGAGTTTTTTTTTTTATTATAGGGTAGTACAATTTAAGCTTCTCCACTGTACCTCTGACTGACGTTGGCGATGGAGGCGATTGCTACCGAGAGCGGTCATAAAATTAAATTTACTGTTTGGAGCACTGCCGCTCAGCTGCTCATCATCATCGGTCATTTGGCTGGGTACAACATTAATGGTTGTTTTGTTTTGAAAATAGACCACACGTGTACGCACCGAGGGTTATGTTTAGGCGGATGCCTGTCGAGCTGATTGGGAGTGATGTTTTCGTTCTGGATCGCCTTGACTATCGCTAATGTTTGAAGCTTTCTTCAGTGGTTGACCGTTGAACTGCACCGGGCTATTAATTCCCCGTCTTAATCGGTTGACATGCAACCCATGAATGTTTTTCATTTTAAAAAATGTGAATCTCGGAAAAGCTAATGACAATTTCGGTCTGCTAATTGTAGAATTTTCAAACTGCAACTACAAGACCAATTTTAGAGTGGCTGTTGAATTGCAATGATGAATAAAACGTCATGGGTTGCCTCAATAATTTAATTGTGTCCACATTTCAGAATCATGGGCTGTCTATATACTACGTAGACAGTTAAGGGGTCCGAATGGCTACGGTCCATACAACCCAACAAACATTGAACTCTATTCCATGTGCTAGATGACGTTTGAGCAAGTTTTAGTTTGCATATTAGCGGGGTTCAAAATAAAAAGTGTTCAGATTACCGGGCGTCCTTTGAGTCTTTCGAGTTGTTTACCTCCAACTTAGTTTCAAATATTGTCAAAAACGTGAGTTGAGTGAAGATTGTTTTTCATTTTGTACTTTTTTTACACGGTTAGCGTTCATCGAATGCAAACAATAAATGACACGTAAAAGAATAAAAAAATCGGGACTTATAGGTACTAGATCTGTATTTTAGAAGTATTAGAACCGTAGCATATTTTTACTAGGATTAACCTAATGCCTTTTTTAACGTTTCTAATGCGCACACTTGGTAAAAGCTTTTTATATATGAATGTTGTTATCATTACTGTAGCCTTAACGTTCATTTGTTAAATACTTTCATTACTTGAGGATCAATAACACTCACGTGTTTAGATCAGTCTGCACGAAAGCTAACCTCACTTTTCTCCTTTATTTCGCTTCATCTTCTTCATGTTCCTAGTGACCACAACGAATGGGAATTAAAACAAACCTGACAGAACGGCGGGAAAATTGAGATTTCTTGCACTTGGATGCATATTTTCGTTTTTGACGCTTTACTTTTTATTCAATTTTGAACATAAAGAATACATCGCCTAGCCCGAAAAAAAAAATTACAGTGAAATTTTCAGTGGAAACAATGCTCTAACATTAATATTTATTATCGACAATAAAAATGATTGTTATAATGTTGTACCCTTCCGAAAACGGCAAAACTGCTACCTAGCTGTACAATGAATGTACATAATAAAATGTTGTTTTTATTGTATTTTTCATTTATTTTATTGTTAACATGATTCGATCACGAACAATAATGAACAATTCTATTACAATAAAAAATATTGTTACATTAAATATTGGTGTGTTTTCATTGTGGGTTACTTCACGAACAATAAAAATAAATCTGATTGAAGCATGCAGACTATGAGAGGGTCTACACTGCCAATGTAATCAAGATAGGCGCTGCTCGTATGGCTCTTGCTTTGACAGTTCGTTTGGCTCTATTCGTTGCCAAGTCAATTGAACGCCTACGACCAGATCGGTTTGAGTTGAACTCAACTCTCCTGCCTCATCTAAATCCCGCTTAATGCAGACCTTTTCCGTATACAGTCAATAATCATACAATAATAATAAAAAAAAAATCCACCACTTGAAGATGTCAGGAATTAACTCTCAGGTGGAAGCATATTTTCATGGGCGATTCTCTCCAGTTGAATGCATTAACTTATCAACGACGCTCAACCACCAAGGAGACGTGACCTAGAGAGATCGAGTGCAGGGGAGTTTTTTTTTTATCTAGTTCGTTTATTTGGAAGGCTCAATCGCGTTAGCTTTACGGAGCCGATAATTCATTGTTCACTGTGTGTAACAAAATTCACTTAATTCTATGTCTAGTAGGAGTTGGGCCGATTACTCGCGGCTTACTCGAGGTTAGAAGGGTACATTTTCGAAGGATAGGATCAGGGGAGGAGCTTGGGGTAGGGTTTCGTTGTCTCATCAGAGCGTTGTCGCCAGTATGAACGGTAGTGCTGTTCTAGCTTCGTCCGGAGTTCGACCGGCTATGGTGGGTGACCAGTGGGCGACGATGAGACTCATCGAGACGGGGGGACAAGACAAACAAAAACTAATAAAGAGAGACAAAAGACAAAAGGAATTAAATTCTTATACTAGACATTTGAAGAAAAACATAAACGGACTGCATATAGCAGAGATCACGGGTTGCCAACACGTCTCTGATAGGAACATAGGGTTGTCTTCCTTGGGCCTCGAGGGTATTCAAAAGTCGCTCTCTGGCGGCGTCATTATCCGTACATTGCCAAACTGCGTGTTCGATGTCATCGTAACCGTTTCCACACCGACAGATGTTGCTGTCCACGAGGTTTATTCTATTGAGATGAGCATCTAGCGAGTAGTGGTTGGACATAAGTCTACTCATCACGCGAATGAAGTCACGACTTAAGCCCAAGCCTTTAAACCACGCTCTCGAAGAAACATTAGGAATAATTGAATGTAACCACCGTCCAAGATTTCCAGTGTCCCAATCGGTTTGCCAACTCGAAAAGGTACTCTGACGCACTAAATGGTAAAATTCATCGTGTGAAATTTGCCTGTCATACAATTCGCCTTCCTGCGCGCCCACCTTTGCGAGAGAGTCCGCCTTCTCATTGCCTGGGATTGAGCAATGTGAGGGGACCCATACAAAGGTAATCATATATGATCTTTCGACCAGCACACAAATCTGCTCCCTTAGCTTTGAAAGGAAATAAGATGAGTGCCTACCTTGTTTCATCGACCGAATAGCCTCAATCGAACTGAGACTATCCGAGAAGATGAAGTAATGGTCTGTGGGCATATTGGAAATCATCCCCAATGCGAAGTTGATTGCTGCCAGCTCAGCAACAAAAACGGAACAAGGTTCCTGAAGTTTGCGGAAGGCGCTAGAGTTTTCATTGAAGACACCGAAGCCAGTGGATCCATTGAGACGGGACCCGTCTGTAAAATATCTTTTCATGCAATTGACTTGTTGGTACTTTTCAGTAAAAATACGTGGGATAATAATAGGTCGAAGTTGATCGGGAATCCCATGAGTTGCTTGTTTCATGGTCAGATCATATTCAATTGAGGAACTGCGATTGGTGAAGTGAACACGGTCTGGAGTATAACAAGGAAGACACATATCTGATGATATGTAGTGGTGGTAGATTCTCATAAATCGAGATTGTGTGTTCAACCCAAGAATTTCTTCAAAATTAGCAATTATAAGTGTGTTCGTCACTCCGCATTTGATTAGTATTCTGAGAGAGAGCTCCCAGAAACGGTTCTGGAGGGGTGTTACTCCTGCCAGAACCTCGAGACTCATGTTATGCGTTGAGTGCATACAGCCTAGAGCAATACGCAGACAACGATATTGAATTCGTTCCAATTTTATTAGGTGACTTTTTCTTGCCGAGAGAAAGCAGAAAGAGCCGTACTCTAGAACAGAGAGAATTGTTGTTTTATAAAGCGTTATGAGGTCTCCCGGATGAGCACCCCACCATGTGCCGCAAATTGAACGGAGAAAGTTGATCCTCTGTTGACATTTTCGCTTCAAATACGTAGTATGGGTATTCCAAGTGCACTTTGAATCAAACCAGACCCCAAGGTACTTGAAAGACAATGATTGAGTAATGTTTCTGCCCAAAAGATTAAGATGCATTTGGGCTGGGTACCGCT